TTAAGTGTATCCTTCATACATGGAAAAAGCCATTAGTGCTTAAATATCCTAGATTGTCTATTGCATTGAACCTTTAGTGAATGTTCGATGTGTATGCACAGCTAAAAGTGCTAAACGGATCAGACACTGTTGGAACAAATGGCTAACCCATTTATATCCTGTTCTTTTAAGCTGGTACTTTAGTTTCATCAAGTCAATGGTCTAAGCTCAGACAGCTTGTTTGGTTTCCTTTCTTCAGGGCTATGGTCTGGTTGCTGCTCTGTGGGGGTGCCTGGTGTTTAAAGAGATTAAGGTAACGATCAAAATATTAGCTAGTCTTGTTTCTTGACTGTACAGTAGCTCAAAGGCTTTGCATGTAAGTGTGCCGTTTACAAAGGGGAGATTCTAAACAATATCAAGTTAAACTGCAGTTGATCAGGAAGGCATTTACCATCCCAAAAGGAAGAATTTTTAATTAAATGTTTCTGAGAAAAATCATCCTCAGATGATTAACTTCTCCCACTTTCTTTCCGCAGGGCTTGGTGAACTGCCTGATCTTCTCATTGGCCTCATGTGTTGTGCTGACCGGATCTGTGCTGACTGCCATATCAAATCTCTAATAATGCAGAACAGTCAAACATCTAATTTTCTCCATTTTTGTTTTCTGTATCAGTGAGGAGAAAAGGCAGTGTTTGCTTTTTATAAATGCATTAAATCATGTTTAGAAAAATTGAAATATAATTATAAACCTTTTTAGTTGCATAGCAGAAACCTTATGCTCTGCAGTTTACTGTTAGGAAAATATTTAAAGTGGATTTGCGTCTGGACTTTGAAAATCTATTTGGTTTGTTACTAACAAATGAATAACACAAATGTCACATTTAATGCATCACACAGCAGCTGCTGTTTTCACTAATCAGGACTGGCTTTTCCAGCATTGCAGAGGTTGTGTATATATGCCACTGAGGTCTACTTTACAGATGTAAGAAAAAGATGGTTAATGCTAGACTGAATACTGCAAAATTGCTATTAAAACACTTGAAATTCCACCAATGGCATCTCTCACATTTCCTGGGGTTTGTATGCAGAAAAAGATGGTCAACATGATGTGCTTGATTTCTGGGATGGAATAGCTTGGGGTTGGGTTGGGGGGGGGTCAGAACATGCATACTTCATAGAAGTGCTTTTATGGCTTCATTGGACAGGTACAGTGAAGACTGACATGAAAGCAGAGGCCAAGGAAGAGGGAAGAAGACCTGCATCAAAGGGCCGCAGATCAGACTCAAATCCGGGCTAGCTTTTAGCCATATGGCTGCCTCCTTTTTCCACTGAGCTAAACCAGCACCCAGAAAATGTCTTTCTGAAAGTGCTAGATTAAACTAAACGATAAACATGATTTGTAGAGATTGATACTGGCTTTAACATGCCACACTAATGCTGACCTTTTATTTTAATGATTAAAATGTTACTATATTACTTATAACACCAGATTTTAGAACTCTGTCTAGACAAACATCTGGTGACACCAGCGATCAAAATCGCAGTCCTTGAAAGCAGAGGCAGACATTTGATACAGGGCTTAGCCCTAAAAGGTAGTATGCACATGGGATTGCTTTTAATTAAGCAGCAAGGCAGAACAAAATCAGGGCTGTATCAAGACACGAGGACTATACCCTAGTGATGTGTGGATCGATCCTGAAATATCGATTCCTCCGATACAATCATTTATGTTCTAGAATCGATTCTCACATTAACCCCTTAGCAGTCCTACAAATTTACAATTAGTCCCCTAAACCATCCAATGTACCGTGGGCGGTACGTCCGACTGCTAACAGGTTAAAATATCGATATTTTAGTAATTTAGGGTAAATTTGTAGTTTATCATTAACAGGAACACAGTGAAGAAACTATAACATTCTGTCTACATTCAAAGGAACTACTTCCTCTTCCGCCTTTCATAGTCATGTGCAAAATATGGCTGTATAGGGCTTTGGAGTTGACGTCAGGCCGCAATGTGTTGCAACCTGGCGTGCGCACTCGCAACAATGGCTGAGCGTAAACGGAGTAATCTGTGGACGTATTTTACCTCCACAAACAGCCAAGGCGCGGTTTGCTATACATGCGGCAAGACAGTGAGGTGTTGTGGCAACACTACTAACCTCGTGAAACACCTCAGAGTAAATCTTATCACAGAATATGACAAGTGTATGTTCAGGCGAACTGAAGAGGAGGAGAGGACAGGTTTTGCTAGGGCGAGACAAACATCTCTCACGGGGTCCTTTAGTGCTGCAGGCAGGCAACGTTTTCAAATAGCGCACAACTTCAAGTTTTATTTCTATATGATAATTCTGCGTTATTAGGCAATAAGAACAAGTAGTCTGATGTCCTGTAATCATTATGAAGCTATATTATTATATTATTTTTACAATTACATAATACAATAATATATGAAATACAATGAAAGTTTTTGTACAAAGTATCAGTATCGGATCAGTATCGTCGATACCACCCTGAATTTTACTTGGTATTGGATCGGAAAGTAAATCAGTGGTATTGCACATCACGACTGCTAGCTAAAACACTGGTGTCGACACATAAGGTGCTGTCATAGCCTGATTAGCTGCGTATATACGAATCGCATTATTGGCTGGACTATGGGATAAGGTGACATCATTCTAATCTCATACGGGAGCAGCCACACACTTACTAACACTGCAAAACAGAATTGTTAAAGTATTCATTTTAGTTTCAATTCAGGTTCGATTTTTTTTATGTGTGCAACGCAGATTTTCTGTGCGCAGAGACTGTGCCAGCAGTGCGCAATTGCGCACGCGGGCAGCTTAGTGGGAACATTGATTCATAGTATAGGCCTCATCTGACTGACACAAGTTCATTTCCTTACTCAGAGCAGCGTGAATTAATGTATAGAGTTTTAGGTTTCTACAATAAAACAATGAAATCCCAGTTTTAGCTTAATGTTTTAAATGCAACTTGATCTCTTTTATATTGAATCAGTAGTCGGTGTACTAAATGG